AGAGAGAGATAGAGTTCTTGTGAGTTTGAGGCCATCTTTCCTGGTCTACATAGGGAGTTCCAGGGTTCCACATGAGACCAGTCGTGACTACATAGCAATACCCTGTCTCAAAAAAAGAGAAAAGAAGAAGAAAACAAAAGTTCAACTAAATCTGTCACCTGAGACACCTCAGGCAAGTTAAGAAGTTTCCTTTTTTAGGTGGGAAACCTGAGTGTGGAGTGGTACAGAAAGCACGTGGCTGTGCGCTGTGCCATTATTCACTACTTAGCTCTGTCTGTTTTCATCACAGTTCTGAGACTATCTTCCACACTGCCTATAAGGCCTGTTCATAGTTGAAGGATGCTATTGCTGCCCTGTGGCAGAATGGTCTGGAGACGTCAATCGTCTGGTCCCTGGCCCCTGGCCCCTGTGGTATCAAGAAGTCGCTGGTCTGCTTCTCTGTGGTTGTCGTCACCTTTGTCCCCGCAGTTCCTGCAGCCCTCTAGGGTTGGGTTACATCCCACCTATTGGTATTCCTCAGCCTTCTGGACACAAAGAGTAATGTCTAGAAAGTTTCCACCCAACATCTCTTAAACAGAACTTTCCTACATTCTCTCCTCCTACAGTGTTCAGTAGATACTGTGTGTTCTGTCCTTTCTTGCATCTCTGCCTTTGACTTTCTGTGTTGTACCCTGTGGCATCCTCAGCTGACCAGTTATCCTTAGGTACTAAATTTTCTGTTTGGCTGTTTGAATTGCTAATGTCCCATTATATTTTCAATTCTGGAGGTGGCCTGCTTCGGCACCCTCTGTTACTTTTGCAGACATGGCCATCAAGGTTTCCTTAGGTCTGTTGCAATCGTTCACTTCCTGCAGTGCTGTGGGTGTGTCTGCACTGTGTGAGTGATATGTGTAACCACCTGAGACCATTTTGAGGCTCATGATCCATACAGCCACTGACAGCCATGATTGGGTTAGTGATCCTAATATAGCCAAGGGCCTTGTCAATGTCTGCAGCCCGTGTTACCACCGAAATCCATGCAGTGCCTGTGGTCGGGACTGCCATCTGAAGCCAAGCTAATGTCTGTGGGTGCGGGAGCGCTATCCCCATCTCTCACAGGAGAGCCGCAGTGCAGGCAGTGGTCTGTGTGCAGGAGAGCTAGCGCCATCCAGCTCTGTCCACCAAATGGCTTTCCTCAGCTGATGGCTTCTGAGGTGGATGCAGGCAAAGAAAGACTCATCCTTGAGGGATTGCCAGTAGGAATTTGACCATACTCCAGTGAATATATGGACAACAGAAAATGGGCTTGTTTTTTTTTTGGGGGGGGGGTCACAGGGGAAGGACAGGACATGGAAAGATTGGAGATGAGCGTGACCGGACACATGATGTTAGGTTCCCAAATAATTAGAAAATAAAAATGAGGAGCAGGCAGGTGTATGTTCTAGAGGGGACAGATTGAAGGTGCTGCTGCCCCCGACCCCAAGGGGTTGCAGGGCTCTTGAGTTCCTTTTGAGGGGGGGAGAGCTGGTGGTGCCACCTGTTCTGCAGGCCTGCCCTCTGTGTAGCATGAGGACAGCCATCTACAAGATCAGTGAGCCCTTCTTTGTCCTGAAAAGGCCTTCTCCTAAGAGCCAAGGGTTGAATCTGTCACAGGCCATTTATCGCAGCCTCCAGCCTCCATTAGTTAGCTGATGTGGCAGCAAGGAGAAGTAGCTGCACAGCAGAGACAGATGGCACTGGAACCAAGCAAGGTGTGATTCACTACAGTCCCCAAATGTGTTTCCTGCCCACTTCTCCCCGACGCTGGCAACCAGGTCATTGAATTCACACTGCCTTGGCTTGCTTCTGAAGAAAAGCAGCCAGGTTCATGCCAGTTCAGCTTTCCCCACAGACCCCTGTCCTCCCAGTGTGCCCCACTGAGGGTAGATGGGGAGTGAGAGCAGTGGCTTTAATTGTCAGCCCAGCTCTGGGCAGAAGGTCTCAGAAATCTTTGTTCTGCTTTGGTACATGTCCTGTTACAGACTTGCCATGCATGACCAAACTACTTCAGTGACTCTCCTACCATGCAGGCTCCAGGCCCAGTTTACTCTGTCCTCCAGGACGAGCTGGCTCTGAGTAGGCTATCTGGGGTCATCCCTGACTTCTGGAGTCAGGAGTCATCACATCAGTAGGCCACGTGAGGGATCAGGGCTCAGTGCTTTCTCAAACTCTAACCACTAGTGTGTCTACACATGTTTCTATTAGGAAACGGGGCTGTTACGGAACTGACTAAGGTAAATTGAGGTCACCAAGGCAAGCCAAATCCAACACCACTATGTCCTCATGAAGGAGACTGGACACAGGGATGGCTCTGCGGGGATGGAGATGCCACATACAACCTAAGGACTGCATCGAGGGGGTGGTACTACATTCCATGATCTTGGAGCTCCAGCTTCAGGTGTAATTTTTGTTTGAGGTTCTTGTCTTTCATCTGTCACACTCCATTTGGAGTCCCTGTTGGTTCCCTGTTGCTCTGGGCCTTGTCTTGGTTCTGTGACCGAGTATACTGTGTCCCTTCCCTGCCAAGTCCTCCTTTAAAAGCTGGCAGCACTGATGAGGGAATGGATGACCCAAGTAGAAGATGGACATAGCCCCCAAGGTCTTGTCGTGTCTCCTTCTGGAACCATGAGGGCGGTGGCTCTGTCTGAGGTGGAGCTGAGGACAGTGTTAAGTTTAGCTCTTGATGTGGTTGGGCATGGCCTCACTCCCAGTGCCCTTTGCTGTGGAGTTGACAGTGCCCTGGGAAGTGGTGGAATATTTAGAGTTAGGTCCAACTGGTAGGTCCTCCATTTTCAGTGTTGTTCACAGAAGGGTTAGGCAACTCTAAGGAGCCTCTGTCACCCTCTGAGAGGGTTCTGAGAGCCATAGCGCAGTCCCTCCCAACTCCCAGCCTCTGTGTGGTGGTATGATCCTATTTACTTGAGCATGGCTAGCTCCCATGAGCTATTGCAGCCAAGGCTGGGGCCTCATAGAGCTGGCACCATGACATTTAAGCTGTGAGCTAAATAAACCTCTTCTCAAAATGGATGAGCACAGTTCCTCAGGGGCTGTGAAGCCACAGTCCCAGATGCTCTGGGCAGTGTGTGTGGCTGATTTATAGTCGTAGGTGTCCCAATTAGCTGCTGCCTTGGAACAAATTGCCCTGTGGTTTCACCAAGGATGGCTACTTGTCATCTGCATGGTCTCTGCACAGAGACCCCCAGTGGGCTGGTCTATGCTGTGATGCCTGCTTGGATGGCACTGCTGGTGCTGGTGCATTGTGGGTTCCTCCATTTGTCTGCAGTGTCCTGCTGTTCAGAGCAGGCTCCAGGTGTGACTACAGGTGGCACCAAAGACCATGTGGCCCTGTTGTCTTTCTGACCACTGGCCTTTCTCTCAGCTTGTGCCTTTTAAGTGGAACTCAGCTTCCTGGGTCCAACTTATCCTCAGCATTGCCCTATTTATTTGGGGCAGGAAGCCTTGCCTCCTGCTGCATGTAGGGTACAGTGTACCAGGATCCTTATTGTCTCTCCAGGCAGTGGCTGGGCTGAGGTCATCAAATGCTGGATACATGGTCAGTGCCTGGAGACTGCTGGCTGGTGACAGACAGCTTAGGGCACAGGCTCCCAGACACAGTATGGATTCAGAAGTCACAGAGTCCATACAGGACCCCCTAACCTGACTGAGGTAACAGCTCAGGCCAGTATGGCTGTTGTGTTTGTTCATCTTGCCACATCTGAGAGCAAGGAAACATGGATGATGGGCGGGTTGTAAGCTGTCACAGCTGATTCACTGAAAGTACACACAGCAAGTTGTATAAAACGTGAGGGCTGAGTGTAAACTAGTGCCCAACAGGACATGTCTGCGTGTCCAGCCCATGTGATGGTGAAGAGGACACCAGCCATGCCTGCCTTGTTAGTGTCATCTGTACCAGTGGGACTTGGAGGTCAGGCTCCACTGTTAAGAAGTCCCTGGCAAAAGGGGCACCCTGGCAGTGACAGCTGGGACAGAGGGGGAGCTGTGGCATGTACGTCAGCACAAGCAGCCACTGCGGTTCACATCCGTCTGAGTTGCAAGTGTTAGTATCCCCAGCCCCAGTAAAACTACACTGTCCCAAATGGCCCCATCAGCTCTCAGCTGTGGACTTCTGGCCCTGGGGTCTCTTGGACATGGCTGGCTCCCAGGTCTTCTGGCTAACTGGCTTTAGAACTGTCCCTGTTCAGGGTGAACTGCAACCTAACTTTGTATGGAACTGAGCTGCAGGCTCATCAATATTCCCGTGACAAATGGCTGTCACAGCAACCAGTCAGGCTACCAGTAGACTGGTTCAAAACCTCACAAGGCTGCCCAGCTTTTCCCAGAGAGGCTGCTGCCCACAGCCCCAGGCACTGCTGTGTCCCCTGGCTCAGAAACCGACCAATTCCATTGTTCTTCACTTAAATCAACGGATAAACCCATGTTTGACGCAGGCCACACGGAACCTCCTAGTTGCTCTCCATCAGAGCCCCATGTGGTCAGCTTAGATCCTTTGCTACATGGCACATGGTTCTCACACCACCCTGAGATGACCTGGCCCAGCAGAGCACTCCATTGCCCCAGCTTGCGCCCCTAGGTTCTTGTCACTGGCTGTCACTATAGAGCAGGAGGCTCTGTCCTGGCTCTCATCTTTCCTTGCTGCAGCCGCTACTGTTTCCATCAGATGAACTAGAGTTGGAGAGTGCTCCCTCCCAACAGTCCTATCGGACAGTCCAACAAAGAGAACCAGGTTGTAGTGGACAGTGACAAGGTTGTGCTGGTTCCCATGGCCAGAACCAAACCCCAGGCTCCAGGACACACTGCTCTATCCTGTCACACCTGACTAGTTTGCCTTCTGCAGATGCTACACACGGCCAGGTGACACACACGAGCCCTCATTCCTCCAAAAGGCACAGTTGTAGTCTACATGGCACAGCTCCTGACTTAAGGGAGCAGAGCACAGCACTTAAAAGGCACCGTTTCCACCATTACAGCTTTCTTGAAAAAGTATTTTATTAATACACTTGGATGTACAAATGGAAAAGAATAAATACGTGATTCTACCTGATCAGCTGAGTGAGCCACAGGACCTTGTCTGTGCTCAGGGTCTACCTTGGTGCTTGGGAAGGAGACCTGGGCAGTAGCTGAGTGGGGGCTGCTCAGTGCATGGCACTGGGGAAGGCGGTGTACCAGGTCAAGGGAACTGGACTGCCCTGGCCAAGGCTGTGCTGACTCCGCCTCCCATGGTGCAGCATGAGGCCTAGGAAAGGGTTTCATAAAGCAGTGGTGTCTCAGATGTGGCCTTTTGAAGGTCATTTCTGTCACTTCTCAATTCTGTTTCTCAGCAGGGTGCAATGAGTCTGGGTGAAGTGAGGTGAAGGAGTCACTGGCAACTCAAGGGCTGTCCTGAGGTTCCCAGCACTCTGGTGAGAACAGTGCCTGAGCTGTCCACGTCAGGAGGAAATTAGCTGGGGCACCGCACAGGGAGAGGGTGAGGCAAAACCTGGCACCTGCTCACATTGGCCATGTGTGAGACAATCTCAGTAGACAGAGTCAGACCAACATCTCAGGATCCACACCTGAGGGTGTTGCCACTCATGGCCATCCTCAGCTTGCTCGGCAAAGTGGTTGGAAGGCCTGTCAGGACTGACAAATATTCCTCACACTTCTGGACTGGCACACATGTGACATGTGTGATGGGGACATGGGTTCTCAAGTCCTGACAGAAGACACATTTGTGATGTCAGCCATGAACAAAAAGGAATTCGGGCTTTAGGTGTGCTGCCTCCTCTGGGACCCTGTGACCGAGTGACTGGTGGGTGGTGGAGCGGTGGCCCTCAGTATGCAATCTTCCAGTGTGTGGGCTGCTCACATGCTTTCTCCTGGTCTCCACAAAACCGGTTGTATGTTGTCTTGGGGTCCAACCCCAAGATCTCTCTCTCTTCATGAATCCGAAAAGAGAATGTGGAAACTGAGGTGCCAATAAAAAACCTGCAGAGTAATGAGAGGTTAGCTGGGGCCAGCAATGGATTTAACACACACACACACACACACACACACACACACACACACACACACACACACACACACACACACACACACGAGGTTCTGACACCCTCAGCGCTGGCACCTTCATGGGTCATCGAACGCTTTAGCACCCACTCTGCCTTGCAGACACCCCCTTCTCTCCACTACATATGCTAGACCTCTACCTGGCTATACAACAAACACCAAGGACAGAAGGAGCGGAAGAGGTCTGGGTGTACACCATGGACAGTGTGTGCATGGGAGAACTGAAGGGCCCACACCCACTGTGCACAGCAGCCCAAGGAGACTGGCCTGGTGTTACAGTTTAGAGAGCAAAACGGGGCCAGAGAAGGTGGTCAGCCACAGCCACCTGCTCAGCTGCTGAGTACTGGGGCAACAGGAACCTCAGAAAGGAGCCGGAGCCCCCCGGAGAGCAAGGGGGCAGGCACCTGGCATGCGCACAGATCCATTGATCGATGATGGCGATGCCTCCGTCTTTGTACAGCTCCAGCTCCTCCCACGTGGGCTCAAACCTCACCATTTCTGGTAGCAGCTTCCTCAGTTCTTCCTGCTCTGCGAGGCAAAGGAGAGGCTGCTGACCCCACAGAAGGAACAGGTGCACTGTCCAGGGTCACAATGAATGCCTACACTACCCAGCATTCAACCAGGGGAAGAGGCCTAACAAAGTCTGGCCTTAGAACTGCCTACCCTTCCTGATGGCGTCTGTGGCCACGAACACCTTGTCCAGCTGGTGAGTCTTCATGAGGCTTCGGATCTTCTTCACGGCACCCTCTAGGCTGGGCACATCTTCCCTGTGGCCCCAAATGAAGTCCTTTCTTCTCAGGTGAACTCCTAGGTAGGGGCCACCGAGCGCGGAGCCCAGTTTGACCTGCAAGAGACAGGGATGTGAGGAGAAGATGTGGAGAGCTCTCCTGGGTGTCTTGGGAGGTGGAGGGACAAACATGTCCTTGAAAGTATCCTTCTGGTCTAACTGAGTCTCACACAGTCTCCTGGGGGAAATGGGTGTTTTGATAAGAAGACCACGAAGGAATCAATCACCACAAATAAAAGTCATAACTGAAATAAAAATAGCAACTGAACCACTAGAAAAAGTGAAAAAAGCTATTTAATACTTTGTTCTAGCAAGACCATCCCAGCACAGACCAAACAGGTACAGTGGAATCTTAACATCCAGTGATATGGAGGAGGTGCCAGCGGAAGGGAAAGACACAGGAAACCCAGCATTGTGGGGAAAAGCACATTTACAGCAAGGAAAGGACAGCATGTGACCAAAGGACTGAGGAGCTCTGGGGCAGGCGTGGGTCTGCTTCCTTTCAGCTGGGCAGAGGCCGTGGGAAATGCTGACCATTCTCCCTTAATGCCTACTTCTGCTTAAAAAAAATCCCCTGTCCCCCTCCCTCCCACACCCACTTCCTCCTCCCCCCCCCCTTTTTTTTTGTTTCTTTTCAAGACAGGGTTCTTTGAAGCCTGTCCTGGAACTCCAGGCTAGCCTGGAACTCACAGAGGCCTGCCTCTGCCTCCCGAGTGCTGGGATTAATGGTGTGCACCACCACCGCCCAGCCCCTGCCCTCCCTTTTAAATATTTTTATTTTTGAGAAAGGGCTTCTCTACATAGCCCAGGCTGGCCTGGATCCCACAGCCTTCCTGCTTCCATCTCTGAAGACTGGGCTCATAGGCATGTGCCTCCATGCTGGGCAGAATCTGCAGACTTACCAAAGAAAAATAAAAAAAAAAAAAAAAAAAAAAAAAAAAAAAAAAAAGAAAGAAATCCTATTTTATGTCAACAATAATGTCCCCATTTCAATAAACAGAAACTGTATGAGTCATGTATAACTCTGCATCAAGACAAGGACCCAGAGGAGCTGGGCCCCCAGCCCTCCTGAAGGTCAGATAACGCATGTCACTCATGTCTGGAATGAAATAGTCACAGGACACATGCTGGCTTAGGAGCCGAGCCCATCCCTAGTTCCTTCCCGGCCAAGAGCCACACAGGTACCTTCATCTTCGTCCAGTCTTCCTCCACGGCTATCTTATCAGCGGCGTCTGTGGAGTTGAGGTGCTGGCTCCTAAATTCATCTCCCACAGCCCGCAAGTGCTTTGCAAACACCATGCTGCGCCGGGTCTGCACGAACAGGGCTGAGCTGAGTGTCACGTGGCCTTCAGACAGATGAGCAGTCACAACCTCACTATCTCCCTCCTGCCCCCTCCCTTCGCAGGCTGCCACTGGTGAGGCTCCTTGGCCCTCCCAGCTGGGTCCTTATGGGCCTCTTGCTGTCTGCACCACTGCCAGCTTCTGGGCCTCTAGTTAATTCCTTAGCATTCAGGCAGTAGTGGTGCCACCCACAGAGATGAGGACAGGCCCATGTAGGGCCACTTCAGGGAGGGATCCCCCTAGAGCTGGGCCTGTCTAGGCTGCAAGACTGGCCCGTACCAACTGTCCTTGGCCAGCAATGCCATGTAGCCTCATCACCCTGGTGTCTACCCAGCTCCTAGCTTTACTTTGCCTGATTCAAGCTTCATTTTTTTCCTAAACTGAACCGAACTGGATGATTGTGTCTCTGTTGCTGCTCAGGTCAGTCAGTGTTCTCAAAATCATCTAGGCAAGCACCTCCAAGCAGAGATGGTTCATGGCGTTAGGACTCGCTGCACAAAATGTCCCCTTTCCCAACCAAAGGAGACAGGCACGAGTGAAGCCACCCACAGGTGTGGAGAGGACAAGTCAAGGGCTGCATGGCACCCGTAGCAAGACCACTGTTTACGGCATGGAGCACTGCACGCTCAGCGGAGCACCCAAGGCTCGCCCCATCAGTACCACAGCAGGTCCTGCAGTGACAGCAGATAGCTCCCTGTGGGGTGGAGAAAGCCCACTGGGCACAGCCACGGCTTCAGTCAGCAAGGTTGAAAGTTACTGTTGAACACATGCAGAGGCCTCCGTGAGGTACTCACTTCCCAGTACTCTCTGCCTCCATAGTGGTCATGAAGCAGGTTTTCGGCTCGGTCCAACATCACAGACCTGCATTTAAATAGGAGAGAAAAGAAAGACCTCAACGATTCTGAGTTAAAATGTTCATGTTTGTATTTTCCAAGAATACCAACAGGGAAAGAAAGCCTTGGGCCCCAACAGCGCAAGTCTGTGCAGGTCTTGGGAACCTTAAATGGGAGTATCCGGCAAGGCCTTGCAGAGCTGTGACTAGCAGCAAGAGGACAGAAAGGAACCAAGGACATTAGCAGAAAACCCAGCAGTGCACAAAAGAACACACTGCTGGAGTCTGGTGTGTGTGCCAAAGATCTGTCACTTATTACACAGGGGAGCTGTGGGTTCCATGAGGCAAAAGGACATGCTTGCTCCTGTTACAAGGGAAGTCACCTCACTCAAGGAAGAGGCCACCCAGTGGGTCTCCATGTGTCAAGCTCACAGTACCATCTTGCTCTGATGAGAGGGGACTGGGGAAGTGAGCCTGTAATCAAAGCCGTTCCTCTCACCCCAGATTTCAGCTGTAGGGGAGACATGGAAACGGAAACTCTACAGTGGAACCTGGAAGACTTGATGACACTAAGATGACACAGGGTGGAAGAGAAACCCAGGAGCCTTTGTACAATAGGCTGGCACATTTCACTGTGTGCCAAAACAGAAATTCTACAGAGAAAATAAGGGTAAAATATTTACACTTGGGGCTTTGTAGATCAACATTTCAAAGGATTCCCAGTCAGAAACACAAACAAGAAGACCACAGACTCTTTCTCTTTAGTCTCCATGTCAGCGACTGGGGCTCTGTATGGGGACCAGCTTTATACCAATGGCTCAAATGACCTCCATGAAAAGTGCACCTACATGAGGCTGGAGAGATGGCTCAAAGGTTAAGAACACTGTCTGCTATTCCAGAGGACCAGGGTTCAATTCCCAGTACCCACATGTCAGTTCACAACCATCTGTCACTCCAGGGATTCTGACACCCTCACACAGACATACATACTTCCTGGGACATGCCTGACACTCAGTCTCGCTCACATGGAGCCTAATGTCTCACAGCCTGATGATGCTCTGTTGTTGAGCGAGCAGCATACATGGTCTTAGTTGAGCCATGTTTGAGCTTGAACACATCCTAAGTTGTCAATCACTGAAGGGCGGTGCTTGGGGTTGCCATGGAGGCCTTTGGCAGGTGTGAGGACAGACAGACAGTGTTACTGAGAGGATGGATGGATGGATTTGCTGTACGACAGATGTGTGATCTACAGGCTTAAGCCAAGCCCTCAGCAATGTGACCCGATTCTCCTGCCAGGGGCGGTGCCAGTCAGCTACTTGTCTCTCTGTGGTAGAGACCTGGGGGTGGGGCACACGTGCTCTTCCACAAAGCTGCCTGTGCTCACATCCCCGTGGGCTGCCTGCCATGCACTTGCTGATTCAGGAGTAGTCACTGATGGAATCTGCTGCCACTGTGCCTTCTCTGTACCCCATCTCCTCAGTTTTTAGTGGGCGCTGACTGAACATCTAGATTTTAGATTTTATAGTAATTTAATTGACTAGTATTTTCTATACCTTGCTTAGCAGCTATCTCCACCTCAAGATCCTGGGGCTGTCCTTGACAGCTCGCAGTGATCCGGCCCAAGAGGACATTGACCCACCTGGAGTTGGGTGTTCTGACACTGGAATGGGTAGGTGTGTCTCACCTCCTTTGCCCTCGCAGCACCCCTCCCACTGCTCCCGAATCACAGCGCATCTACTCTCAGTCCCTCCTCTGGGCGCAGCTCCATTCTAGCCCCTCAACAAAGAGAGAAAAAACTGATCATAACATCATACGTCTCAAAGGGGCAGAAGAACTGTTTGGTCTTTGTAAACCCAGGCACTAGAATACACAGGACGTGGTCCTGAGACAGTCTTAAAGCTGAATCCCACTAGCCAGGAAACAAAGGCCAGGTCCCTCCACCTAATTGGGATTTTATTCTCCCATGGGTGAGCACCTGCTTCTGTATGTAACCAGAGACAGTCACAACAAGCTCAATGGTGGTGGGGAAGCTGCAGTGTCCAGGCCCACTGCAGCTGGCTGCTATGGCCAGGCCAAGTCTAAGCAGTGTACTCTGTGGACAGAATCAAGGCCTTGAGGTGACCCGGAGCCTAAAAGCAGGAGTGTGGCCTAGAGTACCCTGACTAGCATGATGCCCAGAGCTAGCTGCTGGAGACACTGAAGAAATGAAGGGACAGATAGGGTTTGTGACTTCAAGGATACCTGCAGCATGTTCCTGGGACATGGCACTCAGGCGCTTCCTCCCAGTTGTGAGGACACGAACCTCACAGGCTCTTATGTCTGCTCTACCCCATTCCTTGGTGGACCCCTTCCTTATGCCTATTACCAAGGGAAGTAGAAGCAGCTGCCCTCACCTACTGCAACCTACTGATTCCAGAAACAGGGCGTGCTTTATGACCCCCAACTCTCAGGAGGGAAAGGACTAAAACAGCACGAGGCACTACTACCAAAGCCCCAGTGCTCAAGCCCAGGGGATGCCACCTTCCAGATAAGCCCAAGCCCTGCAAATGTTCATGCCACCTCCACTGGACACATCCCCAGCTCTTCACAGCCCCCCATCCACACTCCCAGCCAGCCTAGGATCCTGTGGCACCCCAAAGAGGAATGCACAAGGAAACCACGAGTGCCTCCAATGACCACAGCCGCCACTCAGGGCACAGGAGGTGGATGACAGTATAAGGGTAAAGTGGCTTTACTGAGCAAGGACTTCTCTCACACCCACAGTGCCAGCGCACAGCAGATAACCCGGGCTGGATTCTCTCCGGGGGTCTTCTTCCAGGACACACAGTCTCCTCCAGCCCCCTACCCCACTCCCAGTCTAGCCCCACTCCCACAGACTGCCAGAGTGCAGGGAGGGGCCTGGTGAGGTATTGGGATGGTGATGGGCAAAGCCATCGCAGCAGAAGGCGCGGGCACTTACCGAGCAGATGTGTTTTTTAAGAGCACAGGTGCGATGATGGAAGCTGACCCCTGGACCGACAGGCAGGAAACATTCAGACCCCGAGTTTCTTCATAGCCCCAAAACCAGCCTCTGGAAAACAGAGCCCAGCCCGTCTGTCAGCCTGTGTGCTCTCCCCCAGGAACAGATAGGGGCGTGCACATGCAGGGGCACAGTCTTGCTAGCACAGCACCCTGGCTCACTCAGCGACTCACAGGCTAGCACTGTGGACAACTGGGCTCTTGTAAGAACTATGAGAAAGCCGGGCAGTGGTGGTGCACACCTTTAATCCCTACGCTCGGGAGGCAGAGGCAGGTCTCGAACTCTGTGAGTTCAAGACCAGCCTGATCTACAGGAGTTAGTTCTAGGACAGCCTCCAAAGCCACACAGGGAAACCCTGTCTTAAAATAAAAAAAATAGAAGAAGAGGAGGAGGAGGAGGAAGGAGGGAGGGAGGGAGGAGGAGGAGGGAGGAGGAGGAGGAAGAGGAGGATGATTATGAGGAAACCCACAGAACTCAACATTTCCCAGTCATGGACTGGGTGCTAAGTAACAGCCAGGACTTTGGGGCTAAGACCACCATTCCCTTGCCATGCTCAGTGCACATAAAAGGTGACGGGAGCTGGGAGTGGTGCATGACAGTAAGCTCAGTACTTCGGAGGCTAGGACAGGAAGATCTGGAGTCAAAGAGCATACTGGGATACACAGTGAGACCAGTCTTCAACATAGAAGAACCAGGGAGATATAGCTCAAGTGGCTGAGGGCCTGATTACCATGCACTGAACGCTAGGTACCACAAAAAGTAACGTAAAAAAGCAAGGGTATCTTAGTGAGGTGCTTTAAAGATGTTAACAGCATGAGGGCCCAGGGGCGGCCCCTCAGGCCAGTCTCTGGGAACCACGTGGGCTGTGCCAGCGCTACCTGTGATACTCGTGCTTGTCCTGTGAGTAGAGCAGAGGGTCAATGCAGGGCCGCTCGTCCACCTTCTCCTCCCAGGCGCCCTCCTTCCAGCCCTCCGCGTAGCCTTGCAGGACGTACACCTGGTCGATGAAGGGCCCACCGGACTCTGAAAGAGACCCCAGAGGATGTGCCACACAACAGGGGCCACAGTCGCGTATGCAGCGACATACGGATGGTTTTCATGATTTATTTGAGGCCTCCTTAGACTATAAAGGCTTGGGAAAGCTTCCAAAGCAGACAGCGGAATCAATGGCATGAGCATACGGGCCAGGAGGACAGAGGGGAACTCACTGAGGTCTCTGCGGCCTCTCAGTCAGGGGGCTTTTCCCCACTGCCCCCTAACACACAGGGCAGGCCTACCTTCAGCCCTCCCCTCCTGCCGCCTTCGTTATTCCCCCAGCATATGTTGACCCGACCCCTCAAGATCCCCAGCATGTCCCATCATCACGTCTATTCACCAGGAACGTTTGTGTTCCCCCTACCCTCTGTTACACCGTCATTTTGCCAGAACCACCTGCTATATCCAAAGTACCAATGAAAGTTAGTTTAGAAGATGGCCCCAGTTATGGCAAGCCTCAAGAAGTCAATTTCTGTGTCTTCAAATTCATCCTCATGAGGTCTGCATGGACCCGAGGCCCAAGCTAAAGAGTTCCCCTCACCTTGATCATGTGCAGCTTTACCCTGGTAGTCCCGCACCCATGGCACAAGCACTGTCTCCCCTATGGGCCTCCCCAGACCTACTCCAGCCGGAGGGAGGGAGGTTCGGTGGCAAGGAGAATCAGCCCTATGCCTCCAGATGTCACACTCAATGGCAGGGGCCCCAACCATACCTTTCCCACAGTGAGAAACCCACTAGCTTGCCCCACAGAAAGGCCTAGACAGCTTCTCCAGGCACCTGAGACTGAGGCTGAGTCTGGTTCCCTAAAAACTCAAACCCAGGTCTTATTTTGTGGGACCCAGAAGCAAGTTTGGGAGTTGGGCTAGGAAATGGTATATTCTAAACATGCATTTACTGGCTTTGCGTCTTCAGCCTGAATGAAAAAGAAAAAGTACTGCTTGTGTTCCCATGTTCCCAGGACTGACATGTCTAATGATAGTGATTCGATGTGGGGAACAGAACCACATCCTGGGAACATATCCTCCTGAAGTAGCAGTTCCGAGCAGGTGGTGAAGGAGTAAGGATCTGATGTACACCACTGGTACCAGCCAGGCTCTAAATGAACCCTCCTTCCCGGAACCGCCAGTGCAGCAGAAGAAAGGATTCATCTTCCAACCAAAGCCACAGGCAACTCTAAACAACTCTGTACCCAGGAAAGCCTGACGCCTCTCGAGAAGTGAAAGGCGGGTGTAGTCAAGCAAGAGGCCTGTTCACGGATCCCTCACCACTGTGGTGCGACACACACACACACACACACACACACACACACACACACACACACGCACAAACACACACACACACAAGAGCGAGGTAGAGGGAGGGAGAGAGAGAGACAGAGAGGTACGCCTTCCCGCTGCTTTCTCATCAGTGCTCTGACCATATGTGCCATGGCTGTTCAGACCTGCTTCCCTAGAGAAACTATGGAATCAAGAGCTACAGCAGGGCTAAGTGGAAAGTGCCAGTCAGGCTGGGCCAGGACACCTGACGTCCACATCAGAAAAACCTCCCGGCCTGCTGCCCACCTCACCTGCAATGAACTGCTCATACTCAATGACTGGGATGTTTTTATTGAGACTCGGAAGATCAAAAAACTCGGACCAGGGAATCCGGACTTGATGGATGTCAGGGCTTTGCCAGTGGTACAGACGGCCCCATGGGGGCAGAACAAGGACCCATTCCTCAGTCTTGAGCAGTGTCTTCAGCAAGGATGCTACCCGGATATAGACATCCCTGCGGAGATTGAAGCCTTCTGGGGGGTTGACATCATACAGAAGGTACCTGAGCAGGGAGCAAGACACAGACCTTGAGTTGTGAGGACACAGAGCACCCATTTCCAGCTTGCAGAGAGGGTAGTTACTAGGTAGCAATGACCTGCAGAGCTCATGAGTGCCAACAGCAGACAAGCACGGCCTGGCAATTTAGAGTATCAGTGGAACCTCAGAGGACAAGCCTGAGAATCAGCACAGTAGCCATTTCCATGCTGCCTGGTCCAAAGACCCCTTCATATTCTGAACAATTACTGAGGCCCCCAGTGCGCTGTTGTTTATTCAGGGATGTCAAACCTTTGGCAGTGTGGCACGATGTTGTCATCAATAAATATGGTGGGCTGCATTCATAGCCATCCTGAGATGTGTGTGGCCAATGAGCAAAGGTTGGACGCGTCTGCTTTACAAAATGAATCTACTGACAGTTTTTGGAGGAAGCTACCGCTAGAAGTACTCATTCATTCACTTAAAAACGACAACAATCTCCTATTAACGGAGATTATTCTAAACGAAGAAAGTGAGCATCTTCAAAATAAAAAGAGTGGTGAGGATGGCAATGCTCTTAATTTTGGAAAATCCATTTGGGGTCTGGTCGTACCTGCGTTCTCAGGTCTGTTTTCTGCATTAAACCCACTGTGATATCAGAGGTCTGGTTGGCCGGTGGGAAAACTCTACAGTACACTAATGATACTTGGAGTGATGGAGGCGCTAAAACTTCAGGCCCGTGGCAAAGCAAAATTCAATCCCGGGCAGGCTTCACGCACACCGACACTGGCTTTGCTTTGCACCAGACCCCTGGTTTGCTCTCCAGTTTGGGGAATACGAGGCGCGGAGGAAACGACAGTAACTTCTGTCCCTACCGCTGGGGCCAAGATGGGCCTCGGGGCAGGGCGCCGGAGCCGGACTCCGCCTACGCTCCTGGACCTTCTGGTAGAAATCTCTCGGAAGTAGACGGCCAGCTCAGACCCTTACCGAGGCCAGGGCGACCTTCTCCGTGCAAGCTTCGTCCACACA